CCAAGGCAAGTTTCCTTACTCCACACGCCTCTGTTTATCTGGCAGCAAGTAGGAACACGATTGTTAGTCGATTGGCAGATCACGTATCCAGGGGAAATAATCCCAAAAATAACGATATATCTAAATAAATAAATGAATAACTAACTAACTAATTCAGAAATAAATAAATGCGGATAATTTGGTCCCTCAATCTACGACTGTTTGTGGGACACTACTGTGTACGCAATGGGCTGCTGCGTTTCGCCCACAACATTTACAGTCAATTTGCTTTACAGCGTATTCTGTGAATTGCTTTAAGACGTCTCAATGACGTGCTGTGTAAGACTTGTGGTAAGGTCCATTTTGCTGTGAGTAGGTGAAGGTTTATGTGAATTAATGTACCAGGAAATGATCAAACCATTAGCCATGTTATTACTTTTAAATCACAATACCATTTGGTACAATCCTCACTTGAATTTGCTGACCATTTCTATTCTCTGTCAACAGATCCTTTTGGGGAAGAAGACGAGGGTAAGTGGAGAAGTTGTGAAGTGTGTCATCTTGATAAAGAGGAGAAAAAAAGTGCCTAAATGGTACACAGATTGATGAAGTTAAGTTCCTTATGTGAGTGTCTCTTTAATTCCGAGTCCTATAGCTTATTGATTAGAGCACTCGCCTCACAAGTGAGAGGACCCGGGTTTGATTCCGTGTCAGGGTGAAACCCTGGGCAAGTTTCCTTACTTCACACAAGTCCTGCTAAAAGACCTTCCTCTTCATCCATGCCTTTGGCCAACCTCCCACCCACCCTGTTCTCCACCCCTCTTGACCCCTGACTGTCCAGCTCCCTGGGATGTCTTCCAATGTGCACGACGCTATACAAGCGTAATTTGTTAATGTTGTTCAATCCACGACTGCTTATGGGACGCTGCTGTGTGCAATTAGCTGCTGTCTTTCGCCCAGAAACATACAGTCAATTTACTTTACAGTATATTCTGTGAAGTGCTTTGAGACGTCTCTAAGACGTGAAAAGGCGCGATATCAAATGCAAGGATTATTTTTATTATTATGCATGACTTGGGCGATTACATAACCTATAATGATAAGACTTATACGGGCTTTACTGTGTTCATTTTTCTGGAGTTCAAAACTGTACTGAGACCTTCTGTTTCTGTCAACAGGCGGTGACCTGGCAGATGAAAGTTTAGGTGAGTTGAAAAATCGCAAACCATTTGTTGGCTTCAGATTATTTCCCCTTTAACAATATTTGATACGTTATGTGATAAGATTTCTTCCCTCCAGCGGATTCAAACTGACCATTTTCTATTTTCTGTCCACAGCGGGTTTGGAGCTAGAAGAAGGTAAGGAGATAAATGTAACCAGAAAGCTGGTCTCCAAATTAAGAGTGAATTGAGGACATTTATTGGAGTCCTGTAGCTCATTGATTAGAGCACTCGCCTCGCAAGCGAGAGGACCCGGGTTCGATTCCCAGGCAGGGTGAAACCTTAGACATGTTTATTACTCCACACGCCTCTGTTTACCCAGCAGTAAGTAGGAACATGGTTGTTAGTCGATTGATGGATCACATATCCGGGGGTAATAATCCTTTCTAAAAAAAAGAATAAATATTTAAATAAAAAAGTAAATAAGTAAAGAAATAAATGATAATAATTTGGTCACTGAATCCATGACTGTTTGTGGGACACTGCTGTGCATAATTGGCTGCCGCATTTTGCCCACAAAATTCACATCAATCCACTTTACTGTATATTCTGCAAACAGCTTTGAGGTGTCTCGATGACGTGATAAGGCACTTTATCAAATGCAAGGACTATTATTATATTATGCTGTTAAGTGCTTTAAGACATCTCAATGATGTGCTGTGTAAGACTTGTGGTAAGGCCCATTTTGCTGTGACAGTAGATGAAGGTTTAGGTGAGTCAATGAAGCAGGAAATGATCAAACCATTAGCCATGTTATTGCTTTTAAATAACAATACCATTTGGTACAATCCTCACTTGAATTGACTGACCATTTCTATTCTCTGTCAACAGATCCTTTTGGGGAAGAAGACGAGGGTAAGTGGAGAAGTTGTGAAGTGTGTCATCTTGACAAAGAGGAGGAATAAAAGTGCCTAAATGGTACACAGATTGATGAAGTTAAGTTCATTATGTGAGTGTCTCTTTAATTCCGAGTCCTATAGCTTATTGATTAGAGCACTCGCCTCACAAGTGAGAGGACCCGGGTTTGATTCCGTGTCAGGGTGAAACCCTGGGCAAGTTTCCTTACTTCACACAAGTCCTGCTAAAAGACCTTCCTCTTCATCCATGCCTTTGGCCAACCTCCCACCCACCCTGTTCTCCACCCCTCTTGACCCCTGACTGTCCAGCTCCCTGGGATGTCTTCCAATGTGAAGGACACTATACAAGCGTAATTTGTTAATGTTGTTCAATCCACGACTGCTTATGGGTCGCTGCTGTGTGCAATTAGCTGCTGTCTTTCGCCCAGAAACATACAGTCAATTCACCTTACAGTATATTCTGTGAAGCGCTTTGAGACGTCTCGAAGACGTGAGAAGGTGCGATATCAAATGCAAGGATTATTTTTATTATTATTGTTATGCATGACTTAGGCGATTACATGACTTATAATGATAAGACTCATACGGGTTTTTATGGAGTTCAAAACTGTACTGAGACCTTTTGTTTCTGTCAACAGGCGGTGACCTGGCAGATGAAAGTTTAGGTGAGTTGAAAAATCGCAAACCATTTGTTGGCTTCAGATTATTTCCCCTTTAACAATCTTTGATACGTTATGTGATAAGATTTCTTCCCTCCAGCGGATTCAAACTGACCATTTTCTATTTTCTGTCCACAGCGGGTTTGGAGCTAGAAGATGGTAAGGAGATAAATGTAACCAGAAAGCTGGTCTCCAAATTAAGAGTGAATTGAGGACATTTATTGGAGTCCTGTAGCTCAGTGGTTAGAGCACTCGCTTCGCAAGCGAGAGGACCCGGGTTCGATTCCCAGGCAGGGTGAAACCTTAGACATGTTTATTACTCCACACACCTCGTTCACCCAGCAGTAAGTAGGAACCCGGTCGTTAGTCGATTGGCGGATCACAAATCCGGGGGTAATAATCCCTTCTAAAAAGATGAATAAATATTTAAATAAGTAAATAAGTAAAGAAATAAATGATAATAATTTGGACACTGAATCCATGACTGTTTGTGGGACGCTGTTGTGCATAATTGTCTGCCGCATTTCGCACACAAGATATACAATCAATCCACTTTACTGTATATTCTGCAAACCGCTTTGAGGTGTCTCGATGACATGATAAGGCATACATCAAATGCAATTATTATTATTAATTTTTCTGTGATGTGCTGTCACAGTAGCTAAAGGTTTAGGTGAGTTAATGAACTAGGAAATGATCAAACCATTAGCCATGTTATTGCTTTTAAATAACAATACCATTCGGTACAATCCTCACTGGAATTTACTGACCATTTCTATTCTCTGTCAACAGATCTTTTTGGGGAAGAAGAGGAGGGTAAGTGGAGAAGTTCTGAAGTGTGTCATCTTGTTAAATAGGAAAAGAAAGAGTGCCTAAATGCTACACAGATTGATGAAGTTAAATTCATTATGCGAGTGTCTCTTTAATTCCGAGTCCTTACATGATTTATAACGATAAGACTTATGTGCGTTTTACTCTATTAGTTTTTTTGGGGAGTTTGAGACTTGGCGGATCGCTTTTCCGGGGTTAATAATAATAATAATTTGGTCACTCAATCCACGACTGTTTGTGGGACGCCAGTGTGCGTAATTGGCTGCCGCGTTTCACCCATAAAATATATAGTCAATTCACTTTGCAGTATGTCCTGTGAAGCGCTTTGAGACATCTCAATGACGTGACTAGGGGCTATATCAAATGCAAAGATTATTATTATTATTACTGACACCTTCTGTTTCTGTCTGCAGTCTGTGACCTGGCAGGTGAAAGTTTAGGTGAGTTAAAGAATCACAAAGCATTTGTCGTCTATGAATTTTTTCTCCTTTAACAACCTTGATAACATTACCTGGTAAGATTTCTTCCCTCCAGGAGATTCAAACTGACCATTTTCTATTTTCTGTCCACAGCGGATTTGGAACCAGAAGAAGGTAAGGAGAGAAATGTAACCAGAAAACTGGTCTCCAAATTAAGACTGAATTGAGGATATTTATTGGATTCCTGTAGCGTAGTGGTTTGAGCGCTCGCCTCACAAGCGAGAGGACCGGTGTTCGATTCCCGGGGGGGAGTGAAACCTTAGGCAAGTTTCCTTACTCCACACGCCTCTGTTTATCTGGCAGTAAGTAGGAACATGGTTGTTAGTCGATTGGCGGATCATGTATCCGGGGGTCATAATCCCTTTCCCCAAAAAGTAAATAAATAATAATAATAATTTGGTCACTCAATCCACGACTGTTTGTGGGACGCTGCTGTGCGCAATTGGCTGCCACGTTTCGCCCACCAAATACGCAATCAATTCACTTTGCAATATATCCTGTGAAGCGCTTTGAGATGACTCAAATACATGATAAGGCGCTGTATGAAATGCAAGGATTATTAATATATTATGTATTTCACGTTTCAGGTGATGTTTGAGCATTAGTAATGTTTGGTTTATGGTGTTGAACTAAACAGTTTTCTCCTCTTTTAAATTAGAGGACATGCTTGACCAAATGATAAATGAAATTTTAAGAGAAGCAGGGGTCGAGGTTGATCCTTATGTCCCGATACCGAAAGGTAATGTCTATTATCCAGTTGGGCTTGTTTTGCATTTCTTCAAAAGTATCAAGTCGATATTGATCATAAATTGCTGAAGTTGTACAATCGTGTACCAATCGTGTATTAGACAACCAAAATTTTGCCCACAAAATACTCAGTCAATTCACTTTACAGTATATTCTGTGAAGCGCTTTGAGACATCTCGAAGACATGATAAGGCATTATATTAAATGCAAGGCTTACTATCATTGTGATGGCCTGTAGCTCAGTGGTTAGAGCACTCGCCTTACAAGCGAGAGACCCGAGTTCGATTCCCGGGCAGGGCGAAACGTTGGGCAGATTTCCTTACTCCACACGCCTCTGTTTACCAAGCTGTAAGTAGGAAACCGGTTGTTAGATGATTGGAGGATTGCTTTCCATGAGTAATAATCCCTTCGAAGAAAAATGATATCAATAATAATGATTTGGTCACTCAATCTACGACTGTTTAGAAACATAGAAACAGGAGTAGGCCATTCAGCCCCTCAAGCATGTTCCGTGATTCTATAAGATCTGTACCTCAACTCCAATTACCTCTCTTTGCCCCATATCACTTGATACCCCTACCAGCATATCTATCTATAAACCTTGGTCTTGAAAATGTGAATGGATCCAACATCCATAGCCTTTTGGGGGAGAGAGTTCCAGAATTCCACTGCTCTTTGGGTGAAAAACTGCCTCCTGATTGACTCCTAAATGGCCCGGCTCTAATTTTAAGATGATGCCCCTTGTTCTGGATTCCCCACCAGAGGAAATAATTTCTTTGTAGTCACCCTATTGAATTCCTTTACTATTTAAAAACCTCAATCAGATCACTCCTCAACCTTCTAAACTCAAGGGAATACAGACCAAGCTTATGCAACCGGTCCTCACAATTTAACCGTTTAATCCCACATATTATTCTGGTGAATCTGCGTTGCATCCCTTCCACAGCCAAATATATCCTTCCTAAGGTGTGATGCCCAAAACTGAACACAGTCTCCAGATGGGGTCTGAACAAAGCTCCATAATAGTTGAAGCATCATTTCCTCTCCTTTATATTCCAGCTCCTTTGAAATAAAGGCGAACATCTCAATAGCGTTTTTGATAACATTTTGCACCTGTGAGTTTGTTTTTAGTGATTTGTGTACGTGGACACCCAAATCCCTTTGCTCTTCCACAGTTCTCAGTTTCTCATTTAGAAAATATTCTCTTTTGCCACTTTTGGATGACCTCACACTTCCCCACATTGAATTCCATCTGCCTTTTCACCCACAGAATATAGAGTCAATTTACTTTACAGTGTATTCTGTGAAGTGTTTGATATGTCTCACCGATGTGATGAAGTCTATCAAATGCAAGGATTATTATTATTATTAACTTATTATTAAGGGAACATAACAAGCCTTTGTCTTATTCTCAGAAACTATTCTCCAGAAGCGAGTCAACATCCACAAGATGCAGACACTTCAAACGTCAATGAGCAAAGAAAACATAGCAGAACTTGAAAGCAAGTTTGACTCCATCCGTGACCTCCTGATGCAGACTGTTCATGATTACCAGGAAGGAAAGCACTGCCCTGGAATGACCGAAGAGGGTAAGTTTGAATCTCTTTTGAATTTGAATGTAGAATTATGTTGATTGATTGATTGATTGATTGATTGATATTAATCTTTAAGAGTTGTCCCCTGCTTCAGAGCAGTAAACTGTCCCAGATTATCAAGTAATGCTGATTTTTCAGTATTGGGTAGGGCGAAACCTTAGGCAAGTTTCCTTACTCAACTCGCCTCTGTTTACCCAGGAGTAAGTAAGATCCCGGTTGTTAGTCGATTGGCGGATCGCTTTCCAGGGATAATAATCCCTTCAAAAAAAAATGTGGTCACTATTGCACGCAAGTTTGTCACTTTACTCTGCAATATATTCTGTGAAATGCTTGTGGGGTCCTGTAGCTCAGTGGTTAGAGCACTTGCCTTGCAAGCGAGAGACCTGGGTTCAATTCCAGGCAGAGGGCGAAACCTTGGGCAAGTTTCCTTACTCCACACAGAGCCTAATAATAATCCCTCCAAAACAAAACAATAATAAATTGGTCATTTTCAATCCACGACTGTTTGTGGGACATTGCTGTGCGCAATTGGCTGCTGTGTTTCACACACAAATATTCACACACACACACGAAAGTCAATTCACTTTACAGTCTATTCTGTGAAGCGCTTTGAGACGTCGAGAAGACTTGAAAAGCGCTATACCAAATGCAAGGATTATTATTATTATTAAAGAAGGTGGTCTGAGTGTTACAGGATTTCATTAGATGTATTCCGATCAATGATCAATACCAGTTGCTCGATCAGTAAACTGTAGAATATTAATTATGTTCTGACATTGTGTTGAAATTTCATGTTCTTATTCCGAGACCTAATTTAACCTGGCACTCCAATACAGCGCTGAGGTGTGTTACATTGTTGGAGGTGCCTTCTGTTGGGATGAGAAGTTAAACCAAGGTCCTTTAATGTCTGCCTGTTCAGGTGGACATTAAAGATCCCATGGCACTATTCGAAAAGAGGAGGGAGTTTCTCTCTCTCGGTGTCCTGGCCGACAATCCCCCAAATAAAACTGGTCACACAAACCATGGCAGTTTGTGGGATATTGCTGGGCGCAAATTGTCTGCCGCATTCACCCACAAAATACCCACTCATTACATTTTAAGGTACATCCTCTGAGGCTCCTTGGGATGGCCTCCTGACATGAAAAGCTCTGTACCAAATGTAAGGATTATTATTATTATTATTATTAACTTTACAAATACTATTTCTATATTTTGCAGAAAAGGAAGCCGTCAACATCCCCATCCAAGAAAAGTTGAATTCAGCCCTCCAGCAACTCCTGAATTTGAAGGTGAAGACTGCAGAGCAATATGTTCAGGATCCACAGGTGAAGAAGAAGCTTGAAGATGAATGCGTTATTCTTCGTCACCAAATTATCCGTGAAAATCAACTTGCAAATACCACGTCCGCTGATCCTGAAATGAATGAGGAAGGTATGTACTTCCTCACTCATAGGTATGTTTGGCTCCCATCACTGCCTCCATACTTTGGACACTGACAGCATCACACTTCATGGATGCACTGTCCACCTCACGTAGCCAATATGGAACCTCAACGTCCTGTTTGACCCTCAACTGTCCTTCATCTCCCACATCCGTGCCATGACCTGCTCCGCCTTTCCCCACGTCTACAACATTGATCGGCTCCGCCACTGTCAATCACCGCAGGCCGTGAGGCCCTCATCCACGTATTCATCACAGCCAGGCTCGATTATACAAACGCCCTGCTTGTCGGCCTCCCCAAATCCTCCCTCTACAGGCTGCAGATCATCCAGAACTCTGCAGTCCGTGTTCTCTCCCGCACCAGGCTCCACAACCCTATCACCCCTATCCTCACCCAGCTCCACTGGCTGCCCATTATTCAAAGGATACAGTTCAAGATCCTGGTCCTCACCTTCAAAGCTCTCCATGGCCTTGCTCCTCCCTACCTCCTAACATCCTACCAACTTGCCCGCTCCCTCGGCTCAGCGGGCTCTGGCCTGCTTCACGTCCCCCGCTCCGCCAGCCCCACCATTGACGAACGGGCCTTGAGCCTCCCCGTTCCTACCCTGCCTCACCCCCTCCCTTACCTCCTTCAAAACCTGTCTAAAGATCCTCCTCTTCGACCATGCCTTCGGTAACCCTCCTACCCCTCCCCTCACTCCATCCCCTCCTGATCCCAACCCCCAGCTCGGGTGCGGATCCCTGACTGTCCAGCGCCTTCCTGATGTGAAAGGCGCTATACAAATGTAATTTGTAGTTGTTGTTGTTGTACTGTACGTGCAGTGGCCTATGTGCACACAGCAATGTCCTGCAAACAGCCGTGAAGTGAATGACTAATTTTCTCCGCGTCAGTTGGTGGTATCACTCTTGCCTGTGAGTTAGGCTGTGGGTTCGAGCCCCACATTGGGGCTTGACATAGCCTAGGCCTTAGACCTACTCTCCAGATCAGGGAGAAAAGCTGCTTTGACAGAGGTACTGTCCTTTGAATCAGATCCCGTGGTTGTATTCAACAGGAGAAGGAAATATCTTTCACCCGATTATCTGGCCAACAATCCCCCAAATAACAGCGAAGTATTTTGAGACGTCTCGACAACGTGATGAGGCCCTACATCAAATACAAGGATTATTATCATTGTTATTGTTGATCAGCTGGATTCTGATTACCTGGCAATAAATTGGAACCTGGTTATTAGTCAATTGGTTTCCAAAGTTGCACAGAATATAATCTCCTGAATAGGATGTGGGCAGATGTATAATTTAGGTGGTTGCATGATTTATACGGATCAGACTCATGCGAGTTGTACTGTACATTTATCGTTTGCCGCTCACACGTGTTTTATTCCTTTGCAGAAAAGCGTCTGGAGGAAAGTGTCATGAGCGATAAATTTGAGCACGCACTGAAATTCATGACTTCGGAATTCAGTGAGAAGCTGCAGAGCAACATTCAGAAATTGCGCGCTGACATTGAACAGGAGAACAAGGAAAAGGGCGACGAAGATGAGAAGGCTGGAATGCCCCCTGGTGGTGAGAATCCAAGGCCCATTTTTCCATTTGCTTTTTTGTTTGAGATTCTTTTCAGCGTACCTTCGGCCCTCAGCGACGTGAGGGGGAGCTATACAAATGCAAATTGTTGTTGTCGTACCTTCCCAGTATACCCCGCCACTGTCCTAAGCGGTTCAGTGTCATTTATTCCATGATCTTTCCTCTTTCTCAATCCCATTCAATATCATGTGCATCTCGACTGGCTCCGGCCTCCTGTTTGTCCCTCACGCCCTCTGTTCCACCATTGGTAACTGCGCTTTCAGCGCCTCTAAACTCTGGAAGAGTCTTCCTGTATTCCTCCCCCTTGTCCCCATCTTCAGGTCGCATCTGAAGGCCTTCCTCTTCGACCGTGCTTACGGTCACCTCCTCCCTCCCCCGGCTCAATGATAGGCTCAACGCTACCCTGCGGGAGGAGTGCTGGATAAAATACAAGTTTTTGTTGTTGTTGATAGACACTGGTGACGCATCAAACGAGGAACGACGACTCCTAAATTTGACTCCAATAATTCTTAGTTGAGAAAGACTGAAGAGATATGTATTGCCTCCCAAGTGATGAGTGAGGGATTTCCCATAGTCCAATCCATGTTCAACTGACTGAGGTTCAGTAATTCATGGTTGGCTCTGTGTCTGTCCATGTATGTAACCTGGCGCCGGGTGCCAACAGACATTGGTGCCTGTGTCTGAG